ATATTCATAGCATTTCGGCCAATGACATAGTTTAATTTACATCACGTGTATCTATCTGGATACCCCGTCTAGACCAGGACTTTAATTACTTCAAGTGGGAAGGGCTTTGAACAATAGGGAAATTGAGGCGTAAACAAAAGATTATGCAAATATATTTAATTGCTATGTCTTTAGAATTATTTCTAAATACAGTAAGTTGTATTTAGAAATTTATTCTAACTACACTTTATAGCTAACACTTTTCCTAAACGTTTGAAAACTACATAAATATAGGAAAACCAACTTTTTTACAAACTATCATAATAAACAGCGCTTTAAACACTACAATACAGCAACTTACCAGTAATGTTTACCGTCTATAAAATATATATGCACTTCGGCTCTTTCATTTTCCACCAGATAGCGCCTTATCGCACACACAATCTGATATATCGTTTTTCAGATCCCCAACCTTGCCAGCCGAGCGACAATACTGTGCACAATGCTGTGCTCAACACTTTCTGGTTCTCGAAACCGCTATTTCTTATATTATAAGAAGATACCATGCTCTGTTCAGTGCCAACAAAATTCATCTATTTACGACGAAAGCGAACTGAATGCTTCGTTGCGCTTCATGCAAACTTTCAAGCGAATGTAATCGTTAATGCCCACGCTCACTTTTTTGAATATCTAATAATTTCATGCCTCATTGCTATGAAAGTTTAATGATGTGTGAGAAGCAATTTCAAATCCTGGTTAGTGTTTTAAACTTGGCTTCCAAATCCCCAGTGCCATGAACAAAGGCTCGGCTGCGCCTCGCCATTGTTCATGGCACTTGTATTTAGAAACCACGTCAAAAACACTAACTCGGATTTGAAATATTACTTAATTAATATATAATTACTGAGGCCAACGGCATTATTCGATATATTGCAGCCAGCTGAGGCCGAAGGCCGAAGCTGGCTGCAATATATCGAATAATGCCGTTTGGCCGAAAATAATGTCTGTGTGCACTGATACACGCTGCATTATTTTTAATAATGCTGTGTGCACGCTGCATTATTTTTGATATAATGCAGAGAGAAAACAATAGGTTATTATGACCGTCAGTAATTATTTTAGCATTAACCGACAGACGAGCCAATGAGGGACGATATACCAATACACGCAATGTTCTGATTGGTACACAATCAATTTGCAAGCATGCAGTATTACGCGTGGGTTTCCTCTGAAGTCTAAAGTCTAAACAATCTGGCCATTCTCACTGAGCGCACATACTGTATTTGCTCTTTAGATTATGAATTATATTCGTTATTGCTGATTCCTCATTCCGCTCGGCAAATGGTTTATAACTTATATTCAGAGCGACAAACTGTTCCAAATGATAACACCAGAAGTCGTCCACCTGCATTAGAGTGTTGCCGTATACCATATATGTCAACAACATGAATTCGCAACGTTCAAATACAGAAGCCAGAGAGTAAGTTTTCAATTATATAGTAGCTTCTAGAACCTTGTAACAAGCTTTCGTTGGTTGGATGCAACTTTCTGAAAATATATAAAGCTAAAGGAGAAGGTCGACGTATTGAGCGAAGGCCGCTGGAAACGTCGAAATTCTCTTTATATTTTGAGGTAATGGCATCCCTACGTCGAACGAAAGCTTGTTATTGTTGGCTCTACCTGGATATATTAAATGAATTGGCTACATGATATAATTATTACTATATTTATGTATAGCAATTATTTACAGGCTGCGTATGTAATACTGTGTCTTCTTGCGCAGAGTTATGACGATATTTGATACTATAGGCTAGCCTAGGAACTGATGTTTGTGCGTTCGAATGCGATCTGCAAATCAGCGCAAATAGAATAACTCGTTAGTAAAATATATTTAAATTTTTTCACTATTATCTCACAGTTATAGGAAATTGATAAATGATCAAACCGTGTCTTGCTTTTAGCCTTATAAATTAAACCATCGAGTTTATTATTGTTCCACCATCATTCATCGCCCAAGGTAAAGAACTGATCATACATTTATAAACCGCATTTATAGGGCCAAGGGCAAGGCCCAAGTTCAGAACGTTTCATCCCTGCTGACCAAAAATTTGAAAGATAGCACCCCGACACTATAACAATACGCCAATAGCCTAGCGAGCATCCTATACGCGAACAACCTATATAATTAATAGCTCTGCTATCTATGAAACTTGACGATAAGTAAGTAATACCGCGTGATATAAAGTTTATTATTATAAACAAAACTCCCATTTCGCCTTTAATATTATAGTAATGTATTTTCCCACAAAAGATTGGATAATTTACCAATCATGAACGTCGATCTTTAGAATGTTAGTCTACAAATGTGTCAAGAGTTTTATAAAAGTTTGCTAATTTCACATAAAATGCGCGAATTATATTGTGCATGACATTACAATTAATTTTCTGGCCATTATTATTGAAAATTATCATCATATATTCATAAAAAAGTTCATACTTTTTGCATGGAATGCAGTAGAAATAGACCTTTGACGGCTTTGATCTAAAGGGTTGGTTTAAAATTTCTTGTATAGGAGGAATCGAATATTTGAAAATATCGTAACACAATTTTTGGCAAGCTCTTTCCAAAATTTTCAACATTTATTGCAAATTCTTCCTCAAATCTCGTATAAGATTATATCAAAATATAATATGCAACTCTATTGTAGAACCGCCAGAACATGTTTAATTCTTCGCTTATGAGTTATGTTCATTGACATTTATTTCAGAGTTTTCGCTTATATAAATATTCCGCTTATAGTTCATTGTGACATTCATTGATTTCAGATTTTCAGGGTTCAGAAATTCTGAACCCCTTTTAATTTTCTTCGCCGTAAATATTCCGATTATGTTCATTGACGTTGATTTTAGATTCATTCAGGGTTCAGAAATTTTGAACCCCTATTCTGAACCCTTTTAGCTTTCTTCGCCCTAAATACTCCGCTAATATTAATTGACTTCAGATTTTCAGGATTAAGAAATTCTGAACCCCTTTTAGTTTTCTTAGCCGTAAATATTCCGCGTATGTTCATTGATTTTTGATTTTCGGGGTTCAGAAATTCTGAACCCCTTCTAGCTTTCTTCGCCGTAAATATTCCGCTTATGTTCATTGATTTCAGATTTTCAGGGTTCAGAAATTCTGAACCCCTTTTAGTTTTCTTAGCCCGAATTAAATATTCCGCTCAGTTATATTAATATATTGATTTCAGATTTTCGGGGTTCAGAAATTCTGAACCCCTTTTAGCTTTCTTCACCGTAAATATTCCGCTTATGTTCATTGATTTTAGATTTTCAGGGCTCAGAAATTCTGAACCCCTTTTAGCTTTCTTCGCCGTAAATATTCCGCTTATGTTCATTGATTTCAGATTTTCATGGTTCAGAAATTCTGAACCCCTTTTAGTTTTCTTAGCCCGAATTAAATATTCCGCTCAGTTATATTAACTGATTTCAGATTTTCAGGGTTCAGAAATTCTGAACCCCTTTTAGCTTTCTTCACCATAAATATTCCGCTTATGTTCATTGATTTTATATTTTCAGGGCTCAGAAATTCTGAACCCCTTTTAGCTTTCTTCACCGTAAATATTCCGCTTATCTTCATTGATTTCAGATTTTCAGGGTTCAGAAATTCTGAACCCTTTTATATAGCTTCCAATGATCAATATTCTGTTGTCTTTTATTAATTTAGAGAATCTTATACTTAAACCTTGTTTTTCATCACGTTTTTGCGGAAGAAATGGTAGAATACAAAGATTCCGTATAATCCGACAACCAAACCGATATTTGCGCTGTGGAGTCAACATTTTCTGGTTAATTTCCTGTTTTCTGCGGATATTTGTAATTGGACGCAAAATTTACTTTAAAATATCGAATATGCGTTAACAAATGCGAATTTTTTCGCTTTTAATATTCTTAACCAGTTTTTGCGAATGTAGTATTGAAAGAAAATCCGCACGGCTTGATTTTTACGTCAATTTTTTCGCAAGCTTTCTTATTTTTGCACATATTTTGGGAAAGCATCAAGATTTTGCGGGAAAAAAGAAAAATTCCGCATAATTTAAAACAAATACGCGAAATTGCGTACTTTGGAAAATCCCAATTTAGTTTCGAACGCGTTTGATATTAAATAACGTAAACTTCAATAGTTTTCCACAGGAACGTTTTCTCAACCCCCCAACCCTCCCCCTTTACTGTAGATGTATCATTGTACCAAAATTGGACTCCCTCCTTTAGGATCCTGAAGCTAAAAGCCTGGTTCTAGGGGTGTCCCAAGACACCTGGACGCCCTTCTGGCTAATAGCCTGATACGCATTCATTAGTTATAACCACTCAACATATTTTCAGTTCTAGAATGTTGTATTTCGGCTAATTAAAAATTGTTACCCAGTCTTTTGACCATGTGGAAACCAGGCTATGTAGTATACTTAACCAACACCAAAGGTGACATTTTTGGGGACACCCTATACATGTGCCTGTGGGTTTATACACACCCCAGTTCCAGCGGTATTCAAAAAAGAAACACTGGTTGCAGTTCAAGTGTTGTGTTTTGTCACCTGGAGTTTCTTGACATTGTCAAAACAGCACAACTGGTCATGGAAACAATGCTTTTAAAGTATATGCAGCTAAAAACTTAAATTAGTGATAATTCATCAACAATTGGCCAAGGCAACCTAAAAAGCATGTATATTTTATCTTTTATTGTTAGAATATCACACTGCCTATAGTTGCCTGACAATTTTACTTTGGTATCAATGAGTTGAGTCCATCCGTGGTTGAGGTTTAATTAAGCAGATTATTATTTCAAATTAACTTTGAATGATATATTTTATATTTGTTCTTATATATTTATTTATACTCAATTAAATATTGAATACACTCCACATTTTAAATCAATTTTGTTGTTCTAATTCAAAATTCAACTTTACTGTTAAAAGTAGATTCACTCTCCAGAAAGATCGACTTTTTAGATGAAACACAACTTTCACTGTTTTGAACACCTAGGTCATCATCATTATTTATGTCAATATCTGATTTTTTAACAGATTTCGTGTACTTGTTCAGCCCAGATGAGTCGTACCAAGCTGCCCAGTCAGCTAATGTAATATTTTTTAAACTGTCTGGTCGTTCTACATATCGTTTCAGAAGTCCACCAGAGTGAATTTCTTCAGACTCGTTTGACATCTTCTCAATCTCACTGAGAGGTTTCAACAGTTCAACACGATCATTTGGAGGAGATGTGTTGATGAATACAACATTTCGAGAAGATTTTCTCATGGGAAGTTGCAGAATGATGTACACTGCTTCTTGTGCACTTATTTCAACAGAGTTTAAAAACTTGTTGCCAATGTCACGGACCTGTTGTTTGATGGTGGAATTACCTTCCTTGGCTTCAGCACATGCGTTACGTAACAAGTCACTCATTCCTTTTTGAGCCTTAGAAATATAGGAAACAATGTACATTGCACAGGCATATACATCCAACACAAATTGAATGTCCATGTTAGCTCTCCATGCTTGGAGGCAAGCAGGATTATAATTGTTAACCCTTAATTCATTGGGACTTCTTTTTAGAAATAACTCAGGGGCGGATCCAGGGGGTGGCAAGCGTGGCTTGAGCCACGGTCAGATTTTTGACTAAATCGTCATATTCTCTAACTTGGTCTATATAAGGTCGAAGCGATCGTTTATATTTATACACATAAACGCGTCCCAAACCTTTTAAATTTAAACAAATACATACTCGCATCGTTATATCTTACTGTTATTTGATTTTCAACAAAATCGCGAAATAAAAACGTAAATATCTCAAAAGATGTAATTCCTGAACTGTAAAAGGTTTAAAACCTCAGGAAAACCCCTGAAAAACGCCTGTCGAGGAGGTAGGGAAAACCCCTCATTTGCTGAAGTTGAATGTTTGCTACGACGATAACCGAGAACTACTCAAAGTTCATCATTCTTAGTTCGGAAAATGTTCGTAAAATGCGACTGCGATTTTGAGCCACGGTCCGCGGTTCGGATGTTACTAAATATAGTAACTTCTTGCCACTTTGAGCCACGGTGGAGCGTGTCAAGCCAATCACAAGCCGAGATTTTATCATGTGAGCCACGGTGAGCCACGGTGGCCATGTTTTGAAACCATTGTTCGGAAACTTCTCACCATGCATTGTTCGACATGCCTTCTAGTACAAAGTTTAGTGAAATTTTTTGGCGCTTAAACTCTCAAGAAGACATTTCAAGCGAGATTTTGTTGTTGAATCAACATTGTGGTCGGGAAGACAGCAAGCGAAGTTGGAATAGAAAACATATACGAACGTCCAGAAAGATAGACCTGCGCTTTATATAAGGACTTTGCTAAATATAATACCTGCAAGGTGAGACTGAATCTAATTTCTATTAAATATTTAGAACTACTTGTATGCAAAGTGCGTATATGTAAATTTATTGTAATCGAATATATATTACAGCGAAATATTAGCAATGTTTTATTTATCCAGTATGTATTATTTTAATATATCCAGTCGATTCAGTATAATTTCTTTGTGTTAAAGTTACAATGTGAAATAATATTACATGTATTAAACTGCCTGGTTGGTATATTAAGTGAATTTAGATATTATAACAATTTATGACATGTATGCATTAGTTATATGGCGCCTATATATACTGGCAATGCAATGTTTACAAATCCAAGGTTACTTTACTTGTAAATATTTTGGTGATATTATGCAGTATGGTGGCATATATGTTTTATTTATATATTGAATAATTATTATCCTTATTATTCTGTCAAATAATTACTGGATAAAATTAGGATGTGTTTATGTGGAAGTGAGCCATCTTCATATTGAGATGTATTTTGAGATGATCTTAATTCAGGTTCTCAGTCAGCAAATCTTTTGGCGGCAAATATTTCTTCTGCTGGGGGGTGACGACTAGATGAGTAACATGTAAAAGTGTGGAAGCATATAAGTAGTGAAACCCCCCCATCTGGAGTACAAAGGGATGCCGCCAATGACGTCACGCCGCTCCGAAAGTAATTAGTATGCAAAATATGTGACGTAACTTTGCTGGCCCTAACCCTAACCTTCGGCCAACTGTGACAGGTAGCGCGACCAATTAACGCGGACAGGCCTGGGCCAACTTGGGCCAAATGTGGCAGGTAGCGCGACCAATTAACGCGGGCAGGCCTGGTGTATTTTGATTCGGGTGATTAAAACCTGCTCTTGCGATAGCTCAGTTTGTAGAGCGGAGGACTGTAGTTCCTTAGGTCGTTGGTTCAAGCCCAGCTCGCAAGATTTAAAAACAGGCGTTCTTTTTCGCGGAAAAATGTATATGTATTTCGGAGCCTAATTCAAAATAACCGGAAACTTTGAAAGCTTACAGCGAAGCATATAATCTAAATAGCTCGGAGTTTGGCTCGAAGCCGGTCCGTTCGAAGCATAGTCTTTAGTTGACAACGCTTGGTTTATGTCTACACGGTAAAGTTACTACCTCTTCGACTACGAAAAATGGTACATTTTGATTCTGTGGGAAAAAACTTTTAGAACAGTTGTAATATATTTTGTCATAAAAAATTAACTCAAATGTGCGGTTGCTATATACGTTGTTATGTATTGTCGGTCATTAGCGGCGCTTGGGTGCATGCATATATTAATGTACGACATAGTTGTACTCAGGCGGGCGGGTTGCGCGGATAGGAAAGATCGGGCTTTGCGGGCAAAAATTTACACAAGATTTCAGTTTTAAAATTGCATTTATTTCTTCAAAACGTTTTACAAAATTTAGTACGGTCTACTTCTCAAAGCATAACGTTTAGGTGTTTTTGTTATTTTTATGTTTCTAATCGTCACTTGTTTGAGATGTTTCGCTTTCAGATTCATCGTCGTGGCTGCTTTCATCATCAGAGTCGCTTTCATCTTTCCTAATCCATTTGAGACGTCTTGGATCTTCTTCCAGTTTTTGTTTCTTGACTGATGATAGATTGCTGCGCTGACTTCGCCTTCTTTTGCTTCCATGTCCTGTTTGACGCAGAAAAGTCCTTGCTCCTTGCTCAACAAAGTCTTTAACAACTTTCCC